TTAAAAAGGATTTGGCTTAACCTTAAAGCATCGGTCCCCTTATCCTCGAAGGCTCTGTAACGGAGCCTTGAAGCCACAGCTTGAGGCATCTTTTGACGATCCGCTAGAGGGCCTCAAGCAGCAGCGGCCGCTGGAAAGACATTAGAGTGCTCTGGTGGGTGCTTAGGGCTGCACAGGTAAATGTCTTCTTGATTCACATGGCTGCGGACTTTACGATTAGGTGGGCTAGAGATTAGGCTTCCGGAGTGATAGACTTACAAGAAGGGTTTGGGGTTTAGGGTTTGGGGTTGGGGGTTTGAGGCTTGAGGGTTTATGGTTTAGGTGCTACACATACTGCACCTAAGATTGCATCGTCCGGCGCCCCAAGGACCGGAACCTGGAAGCCATCGGCTCCCAATCTGTCCTCCAAGGATTGCATCCGCCAGACCTAAAGGGCTCTACACGTACTTGAACTTTCTCAGTTACGGCCACAGGCTCGGGACACCGCCGTCGCTAGCCGCTAGCCATCTTGAAGCCCTGAAGTAGAGTAACATACGGTTGATGATATAAATCCTGTATTTCCCATAATAAGGAGTATACCATTATTCCCATAGTTTAGGGTCCGTAAGGTGATGCGGGCTTATATCATCATCAACAGTAGTGTAGAAGACCCCTGACTAATCAACTCCTCTTCCTCAGTAAACATGGTAACGGGCAGCGGGAATCCTGGTACCGAGGCCCCGGAGATTCGTTTTTTTTTTTTAACCGGGGTCTACCCAGGCTGGGAATGGGCCTGCCGTTGTGCCGCCTCTACACCAAGCATCCCGGCTTTTAAACCCTACCAAGCCTTACTGACAGTGAAGCCCTAAGCCCTAAACCCTACAAGACCTAAACCATTCTGAGCACCTTGGCTTTCGAGCATTCCGAGCCCTGAACTGCCTCATGGCTTTCAGATAAAATTGCATTCGAAGTTAGACATCTTTTGAGGCCTAAAGTTCTGGCGTCCCAGGTCCGCTGTGTCCTTAAAGTCCAAAAGTTTCTGTTTCCCTATGCTTCCACGGACTTTATAACTAGGGCCCTAGACCCCTTAAGGACCCAATAACAAGGGACCTGGAAACATTGGGAAAACTTCTTTGCTGCATAACATAGTTTGCCGGAGTGAAGTGAAGGAAGTTTCGGTGGCGACCGTCCGCTTACTGAAACGGAGCTAGAGCTTCGGTTGACTTGGGTAGCCTTACGGCTCTTAGGCTTTAGGGCCTGTGGGCTAATCGGGCTTCTAGTTTAGGGTTGAAGGCCTCCTCATCAGAGAGTACCAGGGATGAGAACACAGTCTGGGGCCATGTCGGTTTTGTTAGGCTGTCAGCACTAGCTGTGTAGACCCCTGCAAGTATAAGGCTACCTCAAAACACCTGCTTGGAGGATCATGGGATTTAGTAACGAAGGTTATAAGTACCTTAATTGGGGTTATCAGTTCTTATAAGTTTAGTTCCCTTATAATAACCCTGGTTACTAAGTCCCATGACCCTTCAAGTGTAGCTGAAGCCCGTGCTTCGGGAGCTCGAAACTCCAAAACTCCAGAAGCCCTGGGACCCAAAGGTTGCAGGGCTCGCAGGGTTTGCAGGGTTTAGGGGTTTAGGGTTTAGGGGTTTGGGGTTTGCAGGGTTTAGGGTTTAGGTGCTAAGGGGGTTTTAGGGGTTTAGAGTTGCGGTAATATTGTTGATGATAGAAGTCCTGCATTACCTTAATGACCCTAAACTACGGGAATTATGTTATACTCCTTATTATGGGTAATGCACCATTTATATCCTAAACCCTAAACCCTATAGATCCCTTAAAGGAACCCCTTAAGGGTACCCTTATAGATCCCTTTAAAGGAACCCCAGGATTTATATCATCAACCGTATTTCTGAAGCACCAGGTACATGGGCGGATCCCTGCAGCTCATGTCGGTTCCTGGCGTGGGTCTGCGACCTTAGCTCTTTTTTGGTTTCGGCGCTCCTCATTATCAGTATAGTATAATGGGCCCCAAAACCTTATGAAGGCCCCTATGTTAGGAGGGCTACTCATTATAAGTGTAGTATAGTGGGCACCAAAAACCTTATGAAGGCCCCTATGTTAGAAAGGCCCCTCATTATAAGTATAGTGTAATGGGCCCCAAAACCTTATGAAGGCCCCTATGTTAGGAGGGGGAGGCGATGTCCTTAGCGTTCGGAGCGCTGAATGTGTTCATGTGTGTGTCCTTTCGGAGAGGCCTTCTAGGAAGTGGGCTACTACTAGTAGTAGTAGTAGTAGTAGTAGTAGTAGTAGTAGTAGTAGTAGTAGTAGTAGTCGTAGTAGCAGCGGCAGCAGAAGAGCAAGCAACCTTTAACTTTTTGTGCTGTACTACAAAGGTAAACCTCTGGCTCACCAAGGCAACCCTATACCAGCGACCCTTATAGAGTATTTTGGGCCCAAAAGCCTCAAATCCGAGTGCTTGGAGCCCGGTGCTTAGGAACTTTATGCGCAGTCTATCTTCAGTCCCGATGCTGTAAAGCCAGAGGGCAGTAAGAAAACGGTAACATAACCTTGGAAGTCTTACGAAGTCCCTGAGCCCTAAACCCTAGAACCTCAACCCTAAACCATCCTAAACCTAAACGCCGCTGCAGGTGTGGACACTTACCTGGTTCTCTCCAGGATCGACCCCGAGAGCATTACTCCGACTTGCGAATCGCTCGTCTGATGGGGTCGGACCTTTCGGAGTCAGTATCTAGAGTATACTCTTTGAGGTGTAGGGCTTCTGAACTCTCCCGATGAATAATCGAAGAATGGCCGGGTTCCTTCATGTGCTGATACTATGTTATAACTTAGCTGGATTCAAAAGGCATGTGGAGATGCTTTCTAGAGAATGATGGACCCCAAGGACGTATCATATCTTACGTATCCGTGTATCATATCCGACGTATACTTATACGTATAATGGTGGTTTGACGTATATGGGATACGTATCCCACGTAGTTGTCCGGCCCGAATGGGCCTGTATACGGGCCGGTGCGGGCTGTAGGACGTACAAACGTATCAGCTGCACGGCCCGGCAGGCCCGTATACGGGCCCGTGCGGGCTGTACGACGTATAAACGTATCCGCCGTAAGGCCCAGTAGGCCCGTACACGGGCCCGTGCGGGCTGTACGACGTATATAAACGTATCCGCCGTACGGCCCGGTAGGCCCGTATACGGGCCCGCGCGGGCTGTACGACGTATAAACGTATCCGCCGTACGGCCCGATAGGCCCGTATACGGGCCCGCGCGGGCTGTACGACGTATAAACGTATCCGCCGTACGGCCCGGCAGGCCCGTATACGGGCCCGGGCGTGCCGTACGACGCATAAACGTATCAGTGATTATACGTTTTATACGTATAAACTTTACGTGTATATGATACGTAGGCTGTTCAAGGCCTCGCCATGTCTCCTCTAGAACATAGCTTTTGAATCCTGATAAGTTATAACCCAATGCACTATGCCATAGTTAGGTCCGGATTTTTGGGGCTTGGGCTAAGGCTCGAACTGCTGCATTTGAACATATACATCGGCCACGATTTGAGGTTCGGGACTTCGTTTTAGGGTTTGTAGAAAGATCTCAGAAACTGACATTTCGCCCAGGGTTATCCTGGGCACAGGAGATTTCATTGAGAGCCTCAGCCCTAAGCTATACTCGCGGGTTGCGAAACTTCTGTGGTATAGGGATATAGATGTATGACACCAACACACGAAGTGAACGGCATATGCTTAGGATGAACACTGTCTTGCAACGGCGGAATCGTTGAAGCTAGGACATTTTGGCCAGATGTAGAGGAGCCCTTCAACAGTGGGGAAGCATTTCAATTCTCCATGCTTGCAACAAGAGGCGGATATAGGCAAAGTTATGCAGGGAAGGATTTCGTGTTGACGGCCGAACCCGTCCCAATGCCTCCAGACTTTTTAAAAGCTGTGTGCCGAAATCTCAACATGCAAGGTTTCAGCTAAATGCTGACGTAGAACATTGCAAGACCACTAGGCCCTCAACCTTCTCTGGCCTCCTCAAGTGGCTGCAACAGCAGTTTAGTTCGGGGTTTAGGGATTAGGAGCAATCAACCTCCATAGCTTTCTGCTGAGATTCCGCCCATGCAGCGCCATAGCATGCCAAAGCTGTTTCACGATTAATTTCGGCGTGCAGTTCCCCGGGGTCATGCGTCCAAAAGAGTTCTTGCATCCCAGGGTTTAGGGTGATGCGTCCAAAGGATCCCTGCATCTCATGAGCATGGGTTCTTCATTGGCAATGCTCGATTCGTCATGCCACCTCTCCGCAATGTTTGCACGTTGATTCGAAACACACCAAGGAAGGTGGTGTGTGCACCGTACCTGAAGAGACAATGTATGTGTACGTACATGTCTAGAGAGGAAACCCCTTAGTACCCCAACAGCTATATTCAGGTAGGTCGGGTTCATGGTTGAAGTTAGGCCTGAAGTAAGCAGTCTACGATACATGCGGGGTTTCGTTAGGACCACTAGCGGTGGATCTGTAAATAGAGAAGGGCTAGCAACCTTGAGAAGCATAGTGCAAATCCAAGCCGATGGACCTTCCCACGGAACAAACCCTTAAAGCCTGGACCCTGAACCCATCTGTCTAAATCCTTCAAAAACCCGTGCGTGCTGCAGCTTTCAATACGTGATCCGGCTTCTACTCTATCCCCAAGCGCGAAGAAACCTCCCCCAAACGGAAGTCACCTTGAAGAGCAAAGGTACATCCTGGAATCTGGAAGGGAACGACTTGGGTCGTTTGATAATGATATTAACACTTCAATCCCTTCCCCTATCTCTAAATGCAACTACCTGCGGCTCACATACCTCCAAAATGCTCCTACCTAGACTCTGGGACTCAATCATTCGAACCTTTGATGGGCTTTAGGGACAATCCATGTTCTATAGCCAGTACACTAATCTGACTTAGCTTACTGTAGTTTAACCCCAAATCTGAAGATGTTTGACTTTGTAGATGCCGGAAGGTGTCTCTGCGCAACATTCTGACGCCGGTGGCCTCGGTCCACAGATATTTCGGCTCGGAAGTGGCTCCCCGGGCCGCACTTGAACGTTTACTTAAAGGATCATGGGACTTAGTAACTAGGGTTATAATCAATGTAACTATACTTATACTTGCTTATAACCCCCATGATCCTCCAAGTAGGGTTTGGGGTTGGGGCGGTAGACGGGTGTTTGTATGGTTTCGCACCAATTTTAACAGGGGTTTGCCAGGGTCTTGTTGGTTTTATTGAGGGCTTCTCCCGAAGGATCCTAATCTATGAGGGATATCTACACGAATCAGAATTTGGGCTGGGCGTATCGAGGTTTGAGGCTTAGGGCGTAGATTTTGTTCCTTAGAATGAGTTATGGATCACTAGCTATAGCTTTAGTAAGGCAAGTCTAGGATAGGCAGTTCAGAAGATCAGGCGAAAGTATGTAGACTTAAATTCCTGAAGTAGGACAGCCGACTGACGGCACTTATTTAGAACCAAACATGGTCCCATTGCGAAGTCCCCTGGTCTCTTCAAGCGACCGTTGTAGGAAGCCGTGATGTAGCAATAGTCTGCTGCTGACGCTGCTGTGGCTTAGCATGGCACGGAATCCTAGAACAGACTGTATTGTAGACCCGTAACTAGATACCTCAAAGCCAAGAGCTTTCAAGTCTCAACTGCCTTCGGGAACATTTGCGAGGCGCTGTACTTTGCCTGGATGAACCATTTCACTCTTTGGTTGCTCGCGCCCGCCGGCGTTGGCGTGGCTGCGTATTGCCGAATGTATCCCGGCCTGCATCGAGGGCCGAGGCGGCACTCCCCCAAAAGGATCCTAAATAAATTCATGATTCATAATCATCGTAATGGTGAAGCTTCAATCATTACCGAAAGTATTCCTTCAAAGCGCTCCTGTTAGTGATTATAGTATAATCAATAGACCCGAAAAGTTCTACAGTGAGAGCCCACAAAGTTGGAACACCCACCACCCAGGGTTTAGAGCCCTAAACTCCTAAGGGTCCATGTGCCCAAATAGTATGTACTTTGGGGCCCAATGTACCTACATAGGGAGTACGTTAAGGCCAAAGTATATCCTTTTTGGGTACATGGACCTTTAGGGAAGCCTAAACTCCGATGTGTTGGAAAGAAGGCCTAAAGGGCCTAACCCTGAAAATCAACACGGCCTGACCTAGGAACGGTTTTGTAGTACCTATCAGCTCGAATCCGTAGACCCTGCTCTTCAGAAGTTTAGGGTTTAGGGCTTAACGCGACACTCCAAGTCCTTGCTCTTAAGGAACTTCTTCGGCTACACTGTGGACGATGATCCATACCTGCCCTTTCACTCCCTCTTCGTGGTCTTCTGGACCTAAAGCCCAAATCCCAAAAGTCGAAACCTAAGCCAGGTAAAGCCCTAAACATCCCTAAACCATAGCCCGTACCGGCGAGCCACGGTTCTTAAGCCTGAGGCGTCAGCATGGTCGGGAATATCGAGTATCATGGATCGTGTATACTACAGCTAACTTTGGGCTTTTCGAATTTCGGGTCTGCTGGGAGCCGGTGCGTATGTCTTTTGCTTATCTGATTCTCATATCTGCATCGCTTCCAAGCAGATTAGGTTTTGGGTTTGCAGCGCTTCTGGTTTGCATATTATCTATTTTGGGGGCCCCTTAGTATAACTAGAGCATAATATGCCCCCAAACCCTATTCTGATTATTCAGGCCCCTATATTATAACTATAGTATAATATACCCCCTAACCCTATTCTAATTATTAAGGCCCCTATATTATGATGGATGTGTTGCCTCGATGGCACGCACGCTACACACGAGCCCTGCCCGAGACCCAACGTGCACGCTTAGCCTGGAAGCAGCATAATGGGTCCCCATACATGGAGGATCATTGGACTTAGTAAGTAAGGTCATGAGTACTTTAATTGGGGTTAAAAGTAATTATAGATAGGTATAGTTACCTGAGTTACAACCCTAGTTACTAAGTCCCATGACCCCTTAAGTAGTATCACAGGCTCCATAGTAGTTCCTTTTTGGGCTTCTTCTTTTGAATCCTATAAGGTATTCTGCCAAAAAAAGAACAACTTTGGAGCCTATGCGTCGAGCATCATATGTGGACAGTTTAGTATATAGTGCTGCATGTCCTAATTACTTTGTTTTATCGTTATATTGTATTTGCATCAGAGTTTGTTTAATATATAGTATGTTACACTGTATTGGAATATAATAAATCTAATGTGCGTCCATGATATACCAATTTGAATACTAATTATATATACATCCAAGCATAATTTTGCATAGCCGAGCGCATGAGCTTATATTACAAAAGGTGTATGTGAGTTTATGTTTCATGTTTTATGTCGTGCTGTATGGTGCTGGATCGTGATATGTTAAGCCATACTATTATGTCGGGTTTCGTTCTGTTGCATTATCTCGAGTCTTGTCTTGCTTGGTCAAGTTCTTGTAAATCATCTTTGTACATGTACATGTATATATATATATATATAAAGAGCTACATAAACGTCCAGTGCATATAAGAACATATGGGTTCACAACGGTAGGAAGTACGAGTCATGACCGAGAAACAAACAACAGTAAGGATCCTCAGTTTAAACTTCAGCTGCACGGACCCCTAGTCTTACGGAACTACATCTGAAAGCCCAACAAAATCCAAATAACCCTATCATACCACTGTTTATGAAAGTCCACAGACCCTTCTAGAAAGCCTTAACACTGAAAAAATCACCGCCAAGTCTGATTCTGACGCAGGAGCGCATGCTTCCTCCGCAGTTGGGACCAGCGCTGCTCCGAGCTTTCCTGGCACTGGAATGCAGCTCGGTTTAGGATCCAAGGCTTTACTGGGTTAAGGTGTAGGGGACGCAACAATTACCAATAGGATCTCGTAGGGTTCCGCACGACATGACTTTATACTGCGATTTATCCCAAAACCCTATGCTAGGTATTGAGGCAACTATGTTGAGGTCTCTACCATGGGGACAAAAGACCATACCGGGGCCTTAACAAATACACGTGTATTCCTTAGGGCTCCGTAACTAAATATTAGGTCAAAATTCCAATAATTAGCTATACTATTTTGGGGGCATAGTAGAATATACCCCAAAACCTCATCCAAGTGATTAATTAAGGCCCTTCGAGGCATTTGTGCTGTTTTGAGCCTTCGGCTCCTGGTGGTGACAAGTGCCATGCAGGAGCCCCGCCCGACTCAACCGTAAGCCTTTGGAGTCGTAATAATACTCTGAAGACACCCTGTAAGCCCAGACCTATAAATCCCAAAATTAAGCACTAGACTCAAAACTGCCCTACAGGGTTGAAGCAGCTCACCACGACTCCTATACTATTGTAACTAAACCCGACCCTTGAACCCTCAAAAATTTAACCCAGAATGCGAAGCTCTAAACCCCAAATTTCACACCCATACCCCCTGCCTCCCTTAAAACCATACCTCCCTGTCTTAACTTTGACACGGAAAGCCCAGGGTTTCATGCCAACGAATGGAGTTCCCTGCAGGTCCACGGCATCGAGCTCCTGACGGGCCTCAGGAGCGGTATAGAGTCCCCGTTAGGGTTCAGTGCTTGGGGTGTAGGGTGCTTTTGAGGGCTTCGAGGTGAGGCGGTTTCCGGCTGAGGATGTTTAGAGTCCTTTTCTGGGCTTCGTGGTTAGGACCCGGATGTTTCGCGCTTGGGATTTAGAAACAGGTTGAATTTTTAGATTCCGGTTTCGAGCTTGAATTCTCGCTGGGTTTTAAGTTTAGTAACTGCGGGTGTTGGCATATCTTCTTTTTTTTGTGGGCTCACTGTTTTGGGATCTGTTGCCTGTTGCAGTTTGGACTTTAGGGCTAGCTTCTGTGGGAGAGAATGCCGTTGCGGGAATAGCCAACACCCGAAACCCGGACCATCCCCTGCAACAAGCAAACGGCGAAAGCCAACCCTCGGCGTCCAAAAAAAAACCCACTGAAGCCGAGACACTGGGCTTTGGAGTACCATACGTTAAGACATTTCTGGGACTTGTTACTTAAAGGGAACCATTATGAAACAAAAGTCTATAATTTTTCTCCTTGGTTACTTCAAAGCCCTGACACCCATCCCTTCGCCTTGGTAGGCCTGAGGAGTATCGTCCTGGGTATCATGGAGAGCTTCGCCAAAGCCGGGCGACGGGTCAGCCGGAGAGGCCCTTTTGCCTTGGGCCTTGGGGTTACAGGGTTTAGGGTGTATTTATAGCATGAGGGTGTTGGTGGGTTTCAGCCTTAGCATGAAAGGTTTAGGGTCTAGTTCTATTGGGAACCCCAACAAAGTTTTTCCAGTCGCAAGTTGTAGTACTCAATGCGTTCAGGCCGCATTACTGGCTCATTCATGCTCGCCTCTTCCATGTGGGGGTATAGGGTTGTGAAAGGGTTAGGGTTTGGGGGTTCAGAGTTTGGGGTTTAAGGGCTTGTTTTTTTGGGTTTAGGGTTTATGGAGGGGCTTTGCGAGGTACTATCCCTATTCAAACCGGATCTTGGCCTACATCGTGTCCGCCACTTGACCAGCAACTGAGGAGCCCTGCTTAAGCAGGGATGCGCGCATGGCCGGGATAGGGGGTATGTTTTGGCAGTTTTCCATGGTCAATACAAACTGCACATTGTTGAGTTCACTTCCCCCAGCTTTGAGATCATGGTTTGTCAGTGTGTTTTACATGTCGGTGGTGTGTTTTTACGTAGTCAAATCGGAGGCTTCTAGACTACATTAATAATAAACAAGCAGTTCAGCAAACACCCATTTGGACAGCGGTTTGATCTGAATGGATTTGTGGGTATAAGAGTATGGATTGTTGGATTGAATGACAGGCTGAAATGAGCACAGGGTTGGATTAGCAAACGTTTCCTGGGGAGTACTTCTTCAGTTGTTATGAGGGCCACCCGTCGTTCAACCCGATAAGACATACCCGCTGTGCATCCCTCGTCGTTCTGCAACAATAATTTCGTCGCCTATGCCACGCTCTTCGCTGGACCAGGTGCCTTCCGCCCTCTAACAGTTTTCATGAGTAGGTATTGGGCTGTCTGAGTAAGCCTTATAGATCTTTCATCCAATTGCCTGTACGAGGCCTCAGAAGCAGGCGTAATCCCAAAAAAGTGTGTTTCTCTACTCTCTGCAAGTTCTTTCAAAGCAGAGGCTTTTGGGACTACCCTGCCTTAACACGAACTCTTAACAACAGCACAGTCAGAACCCCAGGTACTTCGAACTTCGAACAGCTACCAAACCCGAGTCATGTGCGATGAGGTTCGCTTCGCACGCTATTCTCCGCTTTGGCGAGCTTAACTAGCCCTGTAGCCTGTTCACTCTATCATAAAATGACTAAGTTCTAGCCTCATGAGTCGTGAAACTTTTACAACTAGCCTGTTCTAGAAGTTGGCGTGTTGCGCTGGCACGACGGCAACAAGACATTATGCCTTACAAGCTCCTCATGTACTTGCAGAATAGCGGCGGGAATTTATCCCGACTTAGTCTGCGTTTTTGTACCGATTTTGCAGATTGCTAATGTAGTTTCTTGGTCTTCGAAAGTCATATTGGATGGAAGGGATCGTGGGGATTGTTTGCTCGTTCCTGTTTCGAGGATTGGAGATACATCCCTGTGGTCGATTTTTGCTGCCCCGATACCCATTGAACTCCTAGCCCGTAGCCCTTCATGACATTGGGTTTGTGGTTTAGGGCTGAAGGCTTCTTGGGATTCCAGCCCTATACAACATACTATAGAACCTGTAGCCTTGGTCGCCAACTCGCAAGACCGAGACATGCGTGCTTTAGGGACTTGAACTGGTCATACATGAGGGTTAGGGTTGTCCCTGGATGCATAGCATGGCGACCCCAAGCAAGAAAGCTTTAGTTTGATTCTTCGGGCCCTGACCCTTAAAAACTTGTAAAACGTACCCGTATAGAACCCCTTATCAACCTATACGGCCCTTACGCTAAGCTCCTAGAGTGCCTTTGAAGATGAGGTTGTGGTGACCTCCATGATGTTGGTGTAACTTGGTGGCTCTTTCAAGCTGCGGGATTGCGGCTCACGGGTTTTGGGTATCCCTTCGGGTCCGCGTAAGTTCCAGGGAACCACGTTTGGACAGGTACGTTGGGGGTACTCCCACCGAAGAGAGTTTAGAGTGTTGGGTTTGTTTTTGTAATTTGCGTAGTCAATGATCGTCTGGTGGGACGCGTGCACCCCAAACCCTGAGCCTAACGTCTACCGAAATTCTCCAAGGTACTTCCTTTTGTTGTTAGACGAACTGTTTCGGATGCTATAAGGCAAACATAGGTACATCCCTAAAACAAAGCAGGAGTTTTGAAATTGGGTGTTACGCTATCCGGGCCTATGGAGCCTCTTCTCTGGTGCCACATGCTGTCAAACACACTAATTACCCTTGCCCTGCCCCGATGTGCTTCTTTCCCTAAAGGTCCAAGTAGCTAAGGGACCCAACACCTTACTATTTGGCTACTCGGAGCCTGTCGGTTTGTACAAAATTTGATGCGAGGGCCATTTCTGCGATGGAGATTGTGACTGTAACCCCAGACGCCGATTGACTTACTGACCTACTTCGTCACTATTGCCACTATAACCTTTCAACGACGAATCAATTATCCTTGGCTTCAAGCTCTGAATCCACGCAGATGCAGCAGAGTGCACAATCGAAAGTCGGAGCTCGCATACAACATGTTTTGAGTTAAACCCTGCACTCTCCAATACAGGCTAATCAAGCCTCAAATCCTCAACTCTACACAAAGCCCTAAACTGCCTACCTTGAGGGTGGCCTTCTGCGTGATGATCTGCTCCCTGAACCTACAGGGCTACATGGATGCACCAGCGACTTCCTTCGAGAAGGTGGGCCTATGCTTGAGAGACTCCAGGGTTTAGGGTTTGAGTCTTAAGGGTTAGAGTGCGGGTTTAGGATTTGCGGTTTAGGGTTAAAGTAGGGGTTTAGGATTAAAGGTTTAGGTTCCAGGGTTCAGGGCTTAACGTTAAGGATTGGCGGTTGAAGGTGATCGAGGAACTTATGCTGAGTCCCCCCAATACTGACCATCCTTTTGCCCTTTTCGTTTGGTGCCGCCTCAGTCAACCCCGTTGGCTTGGGATTTTAGGGCTTGGGGTTTTTGGGTTTGGACAAGTGTGAAGTGGAAGGTCTGTGTCTAGGACTTTCGGGTACTTACAAAGCAACCGAAACACTTAAAACCGTCCTCATAGCCTCGCTATAGGTCTCCTAATTTAGTTGCCTAGGCAGTAACGGTGGCTTGGAAATCTAGGGCGGCTACCTGGCGCTACAAACCCCCCAAGACTCAAAACCAAGCTAGATCGCAAATGCCTATGCCCCACAGCCTCAGTCTTCACACTTTGACAAGCCACCCTGGCTGGCAGCTTTTCTACATTCCTCGCCTGGCGCGCCTTGCACATCCGGGCGCGATCTTCGATCCGAATCAGACAGACACATCAGATGAATTGAGCTCCTAGCTTCGGTCTCGAGGGCTCAAGAGGTCGGTCCATCTTGGGTTTAGGGTTTAGGGTTTAGGGGTAAGTTTAGCCTCCTGAACAAGTCGTAGCACCGCACATTGTACGCTTTCACACATATGCTACCCAACAAGAAGGTATGATTTGTTAATGCCCCTACAGTGTACTTGGAGGATCATGGGACTTAGTAAGCAAGGCTACAAGTACCTTAATTAATTGGGGTTACAAGTAGTGATATGTATAGTTACCTGAAACGTAACCCTAGTTACTAAGTCCCATGACCCTTTAAGTATCTTTCGACGATGGCCCCTGAACTTCCAAGTTTCCTTGTTTGGGTCTAAGGGTTTGCGCAACTTGCGGGGTCCTATGCGCCCTACCTTTTAAGCAACTGAAGCTGGAGGGCCTCTTGACATCGGAAGCCCTAGAGCCTACAGGCCCGAAGCCCTAAACCCCAAACCCTGAGCCTCGCTCTACCAGTAGAACACTGGTATTTTATAAGTGTTGGGCCATGATTTTGGCCTGCTTTTGGGAGTTTAAGTAAACCTCGGCTTCCTCTGGAAGACCCCGCACTTCGCAGTCATTTGTCTTGTACCGACTTTCCAAGCTTTCCTACGTAGCTGATCTCTGAACTGCAGCTCAGGTGTCACCTATGCTCCAAGTAAATATGCAACCAACGAAGACTAATCAGAAGCTAGTTTGTGTCATATGTTTGTCTGTATGTATGTATGTATGTATGTATGTATGTACGTATGTATGTGTATATTATATATACGTGTGCTATGCTTATCTATGTATATACTCCCAGGAAGAGAACTATAGCCATCTTGCTTGTTTCTTACGGCTTCGGATCAGCACAAATTGACCAGGACTGCTGGCTCTGGTTTGAAGTACTCAAACCGTTTGAGCCCTAAACTAGTAACTAGTAGTCTGAATAGATACCAGTAGTAGTCATGAACTGCTTTCAAGTCCTTATTTAGTCATGCTATACTAGCCCGCAAAACCCTTGTCCAAGTAGTGCTACGCTCCGTCGTGGCGAGGAACCCTGCTTTGAGCACTTTGAGCCCCGTGGCTTCCTCTGGTCCGTGCTAGGGCAGCGAGGAAGGCTCAAACCACCAAACCTTCATCGTCAGCTGAGGAACCCGAAACCTGAAACCTGAGTTTGGGGCCCAAGCCCTGCAAGGCAAACTAAACTCAAAGGGGAAAGGAGGGACCGTTAATGGGGACCGGGCTATATAATGGGTATATAATAGCTACATAAAGGGTACATACCTAGGGGTCCTTGTTAAGGGTCCCTCCTTTTACCCTTGGATAAACTCCAAACCCAAGCCCAGGAGTACTTGGGAATCATGTCGATGGGGCCTGTGGTGCTGCACGTCACTGCGTCTCTGCCCACATGAGTTTTGGAGGACTTTGGTTTCGTCTGTCGGCTCCCTCGCCGGGTCCGTATGCTTTCCTAGATAGACCCTTCGAGGGTCCTTTGACAGCTGGGGTGAAGGTTTCAGACACTTGGGATCCGGTTGTGCTACCAGCATTCCACTGCGTCCCAAAGCCAGAGTCTGGAAAATCACTTGGGTCACTTGAGCTAAACTCCACTGGCCAGATTGTAGCATGTTTGAGCCCGCTCATGTCTTGATGCCCCATCCTCACGCAGTTCCGAAATACGCTAAGTGAACCGAATCTCCATGACTTGAAATTCGAATCCAGGATACTAGGCAAATGACCCCGCTCCTGCCGCCGTCTGAGGATACGGTTCAGTGCTTATAAGACCTAAACCCTATACCCTCACAGGGTTGAGGGTCGCTTCAGGCCCGTTATGCACATGACTTACACGTTACCATAATGGGGGTCTATAGTAATTAGTCGACTCAGGGTTTCCTTCTTCCGATGACTTAAGTTCCCCTAAACTCCTTACCCCGAACCCAGGCCATCATGCACATGAACAAGTTCTACCGCTCTGTAGCCCAGTGGCTCACGGAGCTGGAAAACCACGAGCCAGGGCCTCTCATGTGTGTCAGGGATTTAAGGTTATGTTTTTTGTTTAGGGGTTTCGCGCGGTTTAGGGCTTGGGGTTTCGGATTTAGGATGCTTTGGGGAGGGTTGGCCAGCGGCTTGGCTTCGGGATCCTGCAAAAGGGAGAAGGGCAGGGGCACCACAAGTTGGGTTCTAAATATCACACACGTCAGGACATGGATGTATACAGCCTTCCTGCAGCATCGCCTGCCGCCATCTTGGAAATTCGATTCTGCTTCGAGTTTCGAAACGGTTTTGGTACTCTTAGGTTGGACACGGTGTTTTTCATCCGCTGATGTGAACCTCTGTGTAGCGAGGCTTGTCACGGCGCATCAGAGCTCACTGATTGCAAAGAGGCCGGACTGCAAGCCAGTGCTCATGCCTGGAGTGACTCTCACTGCCATTTTTTCGGAAGCTGTGACTGCTCTCATGCTTGCGGGCGCTGGATTCAGTTGGGTTGGCGGTCGCATCATTATATGGGCCGAAGCAACTACCAATACGTTTTTGGGGCCCTTTGATATAGATATATAAACTATAATATACACCAACGATACTATAACATACCCCAGAACCCTATTCTACTGATTACCGATTACCCTATCCCTCCAGGGACCTTATTATGGGGTCCTTAAGTGGTCTAGGGCCCTAAATATGAGGTCCTTGGAGAGATAGGGTTAAGGCTCCTATGTTATTCGTTCTTCTGTGGCCAGGTTTGTCTTCGAGGCGTTCGACTGCTACATCGCATTGTTCTACGTGGGATTCGTGCAGCAGGACATCCCCCAAAAGGTTTAGGGCTCATGGGGTTTAGGGTTTAGGGGTTTAGGTACAGAATCTAGTATAGAGCCCAGAGGGTCCAAGTACGCCAATAGTAGGGTTTCGAGGTCCTAAAACCATTCAGAGTATGGATTTTAGGATCTGAAACACTACTACTTGGGTACGTGGACCCTCTGGGTCCGACATGCTGACCCCGGAGCAATGTCCTGAGCAGTTGCAAGAATTTCGCTCGAGGCCTTTATGCTTCGGGAGTTGTCCGAGATTGTGATGCCGAATGTTCTGACAGGGGACCATGACAGACCCCACAGAGGGTCCAAGTACCCAAATAGTAGGGTTTCAAGCCCCCGAGGATCCATACGCTGAGTGGTGTTTGGACCTTCAAACCCTACTATTTGGGTACTTGGACCCTCTGTTGAAGCTTCAGATGCTGCTTTACGTAGAGGCCCAGATTCGGCCATGGGGGCTTCTTCGGGCACATCGCGATTTTCTTGGATGAAGTTGCAACCTTGCCCAGATCCCCGATCAGAAGGACATTTGACCCCACATCACCACAACGCAGGTTCAAGCCCATCCGGGTTCTCGACCTCCTCGAACCCACCATGGTATCCCCTCCACAAACGCCCATCTACAAACCTTGGCGCTTCGCCCTGCCCATGAAACCGTTTGGGGTTTCGGGTTTAGGGGAATGAAAACGATTCACAAGCCCAAGAGAGGCGAAGAAGGGAGCAGCTGTATCATGGGGGGAGGCCGGGTATACCATGGACTCGAAACGAAAACTGGAACAAGCGTTTTTAACACGAAATCCAATCGGACGGAGCTGCCCAAACGCCCCAGAATCCTTCTCGCCGCCTTGTGACCTCATTGAAACCTAAGCCTACATAAACCGAAAGGTAGACCCCTAAGACCTCTACAAAGCCAAGGCTTAAACCCTAAACGCAAGGCAGGACTGGACCCCAAACCTGTAGAAACCCTATACCCTAAACCCTAAACTAAACCCTAAACTATAAACCGAACGCAGGACATCCGCAAGCTGCGCAACGAGCTGATCTGCCTCTATGGCGTAGACAGCATCCGAAGAGCCCCCTGCATGGACATCAACTAGCCGAGTTAAGGGTTTATAGGGTCTTAGTAGCTGACCCTCGGCATCGAAGGACTCATATATTAAGGCTTTTGGGCCCAAAGACCATACTATATAAGGCTTTTGGGCTATTTTGATGCCCAGGGTGAGTAGGTAATTTTAGGGTTTAGGGGTTCAGGGTTACTATAATCCTACCATGATTGAATAAATTTAACCTTTTTCGGCGAGGGTACTCAGCCGCTAAGTTTTTGGAGTTGCCGACCCATAGCCCGTTGCCATTACTATAGGTGTTTCGATGCTGTCAGGGGCACTGCTGCAGTTCAGCGGGGGCAGCCTTCAGGCCTTGTAATAGGGCTGTTAAGGTTCATATGGGTGGTTGTAAAATTATGGTCCTTTTTCGGGTACCCTAAATATTAGATTAGATTATTAGATGCCGTGTTACAATAAGGACCCAAAATGGGACCCTAGTATTGACAACCACCCAAAGGTCGCTGGACTGTGATCGAGCCCTATGGTACCCACAACCCGGAAGCCTACTGACTAGGCCAGTGCGGAGTTCAATATATGACATACCGGTCTGTCTAGTTAGCCGCACTATCCCCTTATGTAGTCACTATAAACTTATACAAGAAAGAACTCCAAAACCGCGATTCCAGTTGTTGATGCCACGGCATAAACCCCAAAAGTCCCCAGCATGTAAGACTTTTAAGACCCTTTCAACACCTCACAATACCGTACTCATGATGACTGTTGCCCCTATACATGGGTAACTTCCAAAATCATGGTCCCTTTGGGGAAGCTTTGATCTAAAATGTATAATTCTATTCTTGATACGGCACCCTATAATTCGGGAACCCAAACGGGGCCCTAATCTTGACAAGTACTCACATACCTCTAGTCTCCATTGTAGTTCCTTTCTCGGGCTGCCTGATAAGTATGGTTAACCGGTTAACCCCCAACACGGAACTACAATGGAGACTATACCTGTACCTTGAATAACCTACTCTTTTAAGAACATATGCAAGGAACAAGGAGCCGTAAAAGGGTAGGTTCTTTACTTACCTTTGGTTAGTAGGGAATGGAAGAATCGTAGTAATTAGTAGTTATAATTGTACCCCATTCCTCCGTTCCCCACGAACCAAAGGTAAGTTATAGGATTATTAAGCCCCCTATATTCTAGTACCCTTATAGATCCCTTATAGTATCCCTTATACTAACCAAAGGTAAGTTATGCATGGCCCGTAAAATCTCAAAGGTAAGTTTAGGGTCCGGGTAGGTGTTGCTTTCTGAGCACCTCAAACCGAGGTCTTCGTGGAGAGTGTCCTCCCACTTGCACGGAGCCCCAGGAGGGACATCTATGAGGGTTAGGGTTTATGGTAGGGTTTAGGGGTTTAGGGTAAGGTTGAGTGCCTAGAGTTTCGGGTTTACGGTAGGGTTTAGGGGTTTAGGGTAAGGTTGAGTGCCTAGAGTTTCGGGTTTGTGGTAGGGTTTAGGGATCGTGGTTTAGGGTTTAGGGTAAGGTTTAGTGTTTAGAGTTTAGGGTAGTGGAGCAGGGTCTAGGATTTACGGTATCGGGTTGCTGTTGCAGTTGCGAGGTGCTGAGGGTTTGGAGCTTGGCTGTTTTACGCTTTGACACGAGGTTCAGGGGTTAAGGCTTCTTTTGAAGACTCCTAATACGAAGTTTCTGGGGCTAATTAAGGAGCCTCAAACCCAAATCCCCAAACCCTTAACCCTGAACCCCAAGCCCGAAGCCCTGGACGCTGCACTAAACATACCCTAGGCCTACCCCTAAACCCGAAACGTGCTATCCCATCGGCCTCGGACTTAGGTGTTAGATCGCATCAGCAGATACCGGCTCAGCCGCAGAGCCTTTTGGCTGCAAGCCTCAGATTTCTGAGAGGGGTTTGTGTTTAGGGCTGTAGGGTGTGTAGAGCTGTAGGATTCCTGATAGGATACACACGCACCCTGGATCCCATACCTCTGAAACAGCTTGAAATCGTTAGGCTTTACCTACCCGCACCAAACAGTAGGTAAAATAATGCCCAAATACCTTTAACATGCCACTATTCTCAATATACTTTGGGGGTCCAGGAAGGACCCAGGGTTGAATTTATCTTTCGACAACTGCTAGGTCTGTTGTCGGGCTCCCGACCTTCATCGTGATCCTTTCCAGAGGGGCATGCATACCTACATCTTAGGGGTACTTAGATTTTTTATTTTTTGGTTATCATAATCCCTAAGAAACAGCTAAAATTATATTCTTTGCTAGGGTTCTAAGTTCAGTATAGACATGATAGTACAAAGTAGGGTTTCCATAGTAGAATTACTGTCAGAGCTACTTCGGACCCTTTGGGTTCCATATCTTTCATGATTTCAAGGACCTCTGTAATTACCGGTTACCCAATCTGGCCCCTTTGGGAAAGACCGTAGGCAGCAATAAAGCTGCAGGCTCCAAGCCTTTACACCCAGAAACACCACCGGACACTTGTGGAGAGGGTATAGAGGATAGTTCATCACGCTTCAAGACGCAACTCCAGATATGCACCGGGCCCGAATCCCTAAATCCTAAGACCCCATACCCTCAAGCCTGAACCCTAAATCCTTAACGCACTAAAGCCCCTAAACCCTAAACCCCTAAACCCTTAAACCCTAAACCCTAAATCCTTCAAACAAGAAAGGCGCTCAAAACAAAAAAATCCCTCAATCACCAAAGCTAAAGCCCTAAAACCCTAAACACCAACACACGCAGGCTGCAGATCTGAAGAGGCTCGCGGGTGCATGGGTGTAGGGCTTAATACGGTCTACGACAGGTTTAGGGTTCATGGGTTCGAGGGGTTCAGGGATTAGGCAGGAAGACAACGCTACCCCCCCCCCCCTCAAAAAAACAATGAAATGTTCTAGCTAATCAGGCCGCGCCGAAGGTCTTGACGGTTTATGGGTAATCTGTAAGCTAGCATTGCATTCCGGAAGTTGCGGGTCTCTCACCCTGGTTTGAGCATAAATGATTCTATGCTCTACCACCAAGGGTTCATAGTAGTTCCTTTTTGTGATTACCTTATAGGATTCTGAATATGAACCCTAGAAAGTAAGTGCTATGGAGCCTCTAGGTAGCACAAAGTTGGGTCCAGTTCGCTTACATAGGTCGGGTGCGTGTGAGCCTTCGAGCCATGAGCAAAGGCCCTCTCCCAAATGCCTCCTCGAAACCTCCTTCCATAGGGTCATATCCCTGTTTTAGGGTATCTAGCTTTATGGTTGGGATCTGTTACTACCCCAAAAAGGGGTAGGGTATAATCCTATAGGTAGAGCTGCTTAACCTGCGCAGAATTTTGGGCTCACGTTCCAGCGCCTGGCCTTGCATATACAGGCCTTTGAGGGAGGTCAAATGCGAGTGATGATGCGATCCTTCGTCCTGACGAACCTACTGCTCTGCGTGCTCGGCCAAACCGCGCCTGAGTGCCAAGGGGAGGAGGGCAGCTTGGAGGCATCAGGACATTCCCGCTTTACGGTGGGGGGGGGGGGGGGGGGGGGGGGGGTGGTCATGTGTATACACTAGTATACCAAGAGGGTCTCTAGCCCTGCAAAACAATCCCTGTGTGCGCTTAATTCCGCATCGCTGGTGCGTTTATAGACTCTCGGGCACATCATACATACACAATACTAAGCTGTCACATTTCTGCAGACGCATATGGTATAGTCAAGTTTCGGCATTAGGATTTCGGTATGTCTCAGTCGGGTGTGGGGCTTTGCTTTTTCTCCACATCCGTGTAAAGCAGATGACAAAATTATGTTGAGCATTCGTGCAGAAGAAGTCAATTATCGACATCTCTGGGTGGGTGAGCAAGCGTACCGTTCTACGTTTTCTTATGACCCATAGGTCCTTTAAACGGTAGGCCACTTTGTCATTGGGGTGAAGGTAGTTCATAATCCCCCTATCAAATCTCAGCCTCTCCGAGAGCCTCTCGACAGGCGGACATGGCAGTTCAAAAGCGTCTCAGACCTACAAGACGCTGAAAAGAAGACTTTAGGGTTTAGGATCCCCGAAAAGGTCGGATTCTTTGTATACCGACCTCTGAATCGGTAACCGCAATGTTCTGAATCTATGAGAATCTCACCGCCCTTGGCAGTTGTCATGTTATCGCAACTGCCGTCGCTAGGGGCAACAGGTCGGAAGAAGGCAGCTGGCAAATTTGAGTCTTCACCTTGAGTTGTGTGTCTCTGCTAATCCTGAACGAGTCTGGGTGATGGTCGCAGCCCTGCACAGCAACGAGTTGCCTGAGCTCATGATGGAGGCTTGAGTACAAGTCTATCAGGTCAAATGTTCGTGAGTCTTTCTTGCCTCAGTAACAGTAACAGTACTAGTAACAGTAATAGTAATAGTAATCGTAATAGTAATGACCCTATAGGTCTTCCTGGAATAAAGTGAGAAACCTGTAAGCATCTTGCTACAAGACTCCTCCAAGGAAGCTGCGCCGTCGACCAGGGTACGGCCACCGGCGCAAACAAAGGATTAACGTTGCTCCAGGCCGGGTCAGGGTGTGCACGCGGCGTAGGGTTTAGGATTAAGCATGCCCTTGCATGCAGCTTTAGATCGAAGAGTCTGAGCATTAAGAATGTAGCAGTAGCATCGTTTTAAGTTGCAACAAAAGATTTTATGGTTAGGATCCTGCAACCCTGCCAAAACAAACTAAGGTAACCAAGACCAAGCACTAGACTTTAGGGTCTGGTCAAAGAGCTTCACCCTATTTCCGTTGAGATGCGTAGACGCAAGCCGGAGAAGCACGTAGGGTTTAGGCTTTAGCGTTTATGCAGGGTTTAGGACCGTTTAGGTGTGCTTCTTGTAGGGTAGAAGGAGGCAAACCGAGCTGGCGGGGTTGTCCTCTGGACTGAATGGGTCGGGCCAGAGACCATCAATCCTAAACCCAAACCCCTTCAAGTGCTTTTCAGCATGGTCCGTGGCTTGACCCGGCAGGATGAAACTTGGACCAAGCAGTCTCCGGCAGACCAGAACAGTTGAGAAACGTGAAGTTCAGGATTACCTCTATCTTGCTTGGTGGTCGGAAGCCAACTGTAACGATGCAGAAGGCTTGCTTGAGGCCTCAAGCTTTCTTGTGAGCCTTGAGCCGTGCCAACTTTCGGAAAACTTTGCAGCCGTGGGGTTTTGCGCCGACGCCATTCAGCCACATCTTCTTGGGTTTGAGGTACCCTATAAGCTCTAAACCAGGGGTGTAATGTAGGCGGCCGTATTTAGAACAGGATTTTGGGGCCATTATACTATACTTATACTTTTATTCAGGAACCCTCAAAATAGTATAGGTAATTATTAAGGCCCCTACAATAGATGTTTCTTCGGTTTCGTGCATTCCACTCATCCATCGCCAGGGTGTTCGGCGGGCCGGGAAGATGGCGGCAGACGACGCTGACTGTGCCGAACCTCGGCTGAAGGGTTTAGGGCCGTTTAGGGTTTAGGACCGTTTAGGGTTTAGGGTTTAGGGCCGTTTGGGGTTTAGGGTTTAGGATGGCTTCCCGAACCCTTGCTTGAAGATTCCTCGTAACCTTGAGCGTCCTGAGCCTCAACCCCTTACCAAATTCTAACCCCTTCTAAACCCTAGACCCTGACCATGACGGTTCCAGAACGAATCAAATCCTAGTAGTACCTGCTTGGGCCTAGAAGATACCAGCCAGGAAGTCCTACGGCCTAAAGTAGAAGCTCGTTCAGAAGCGATGTAGCTATGAGGCATTTCTAATGGTGTTGAGGCCCACGTTGCTTTTCACGCTCCATGACGCAAGCCGGCAACCTTCACAACCCAAGGTTGTTGTCGGAGGCATTCCAGCTCGATGTAGGGTTCTACATGCGCATTTGCAGGGTTTTGTAATAGTAGTTATTTGGTAGTAATATGATAGTAATATGGTAGTAATATGGTAGTAATATGGTAGTAATAGTAGTTATAATTGGGGGCATCCTGATGTTGAGGAGGGCTGGTGGACTTAAAGTAAAAGCCAGAAAGTTGGAATATGATTATCCTAAACCCTTTATGGTAAATTATAAGGTATCCTACCCTGAAACCATATTCCAACTTTCTGGAGTTCCCTTTAGTCTTGAGCTTTGCAGAGACTTGGCATGGCTCGTAAAAATAGATGAGACCGGGTGGCTTAGTATGTTGAGTAAGGTGCACCCGCGACCAAGCTCTAAACTAACAGGTTGAACCAATCCACTTGCGAGCAGAAGGACCAAACGACACCAAGCGGGTCCATGTATTCTACTATTATAGCATTAGGTCCCCCCAAACCATGACTAGAATGGTAATTTGGGTGCCCAGCCATTACGGTGGAATCCCTGGACCTTCTGAGGTACTGTTGACAGACCCTCCCCGACCTGGATCTTCCAAAGCGTCAGCCGAGATCTAGTGCCGAAGCTCCAAACGTAACATTTGACATGGTCCATAGGGTTTAGGGCTTATGGGGTTTAGAGTGTATTCAGGATTTAGAACCGTGTCCGCACCCGTAAACCTTAGTAGACTTTAGGGTCTGGGGTTTTAGTCCTAATGGACCTCCTCTTCAGGAAGACAATGAGGATCCCAACTGGCCGAGGCCAAATCGAGGCATCCTGGCATTCTCGCCATGGTTGCACACCTACACCCTATGGTTTAGGATTTGGGGTTTAGTGTTTAGGTGAGGGCCCTATACCCTAAACCCTATAAGTGTCGCAACGGGCGTAGGTGTGGGGTCTACAGAGCTTTGCTGGTTTAGTTTTTGGGTCAGGTTCGTTTGCGTTTGGTTTCCACAGCTTGTTCATTACGTTCAGTGTAAGTGCACCTGGAGGATCATGGGACTTAAAACTTATTAAGTAAAGTTATAAGTACCTTACTTGGGCTTATAAGTTTATATGAGTATGGTTACCTTAATTATAACCCTAGTTAGTAACGAAATCCCATGACCTTTAAGAACAGTTGGTGTATTGGGGGGGAGTTTTGGGCCAGTTTTGGGCCCAGTCTTCCAGCTTTATTCCAGGGGAGTGGGTCTGAGCATAGGTTCGGCTCGCGAGTTTAGGCTGGGTCCTGCGTGGGTAAGCCTAAACCCGAAAGCGTTCAGTGGCTTCGGGCTAATGCCGGACAACACAACACCTCTCCCCTACCGAACCTTCCACCACTAACACCTAAGAATTAATCAATCGGACCATAGAGGTCTATAAGTATCTACGCCTAAACTCTTAACCCTTAAAACCCTAAATCCCTAAGCTCCTAGGCCCTTGAGCCTTTCAAAGGTTTAAACTGCAAATGCTGCAAACCCTGAAACCCTGAAGCTCTAAGCAGCCCTATAAACCTTACACCATTCTTAGGGCTCCTAGAAATTATTGTTAGTTTTTGGTTATTATGAATTAAAATTTTGCTAGGGTTCTAAGCTCAGTATAGCATTGATCCTGAAACTCTCCACCCTCCCAAAAGATGAAAATGCTGAGCCACTGCAGAGGCTGCTGTCCGGGTTTCCAGAGATGTGGCCCCTACCAGTTCCGCTGGGGTGCCTTGGCTTCTGGATGGGGGAATGCTTCCCCAAATCATAGAAGCTACACCCTTCATAAGCCCCAAACCGTAAACCCTGAAGCCCGTAAACCCTAAAGGTTTCACAGCACTTTCTAAGCCCTGAGCAACTCTACGAACTGCGCAGAGCAGGGGGGTGGGGCCTTCTAACCGGGCCTGAGGGTTTAGCTTAGGGGTACTTAGAGAAATATTTTTTTAAATTTTTGGTTATCATAATTCCTAAGAAACTTT